AGCTAGCTGGAGTTGCTCTTGCTTTAGCAAGTTAAGTGACGGGGTGGACGCACCTCAGAAACTTCAAATAATTGATTAAATCAATCTTATGGACCCCCCCCCCGCGGTTCGACTCCCCCCTGCGCGCGGTGAGCGGGACCACCAAGCAGCTGCAGCACACCAAGCATCTGCAGCGCCCAGCGCAGCAGCGGCAGCAGCAGCAGCAGCACCAGCAGCAGCAGCAGACCACCCAGCGGCGGCAGCAGCAGCAGCAGCATACCCAACGCCGCGGCAGCAGCAGCCGCAGCAGACCACCCAGCGCCAGCAGCAGCAGCAGCAGCAGACGACCCGGCGCCTGCAGAGCACAGCGCAGCAGCGCCCAGCGCAGCAGCGGCAGCAGCAGCACCAGCAGCAGCAGCACCAGCAGCAGACCACCGGAAGCCCGGCTAGCTTTCGTTCACCCCCTCTGGCCTCAAGTGTGCAGCGGACAGTGAGGTCATTGATTTCATGTGGTTTGACCATGATCCTATGTGGTGATGAAAGAAGAGGGCAGCGGCTTACCAACAGGGGGTTATATCGTCCAAGCCTGACGTTCTTGGGTCACTCAGGGTCACTCGACACTCGCGACCATCTGGACTCAACACCAAGCCTGCCTCATGTGAGGAAAGGATGATTTCAGTGTGGACTTCCCACCAACATACATATAACGGATGGGAAGACACCAGTTAGGTCACCAAAGCATTTGGGGCACATGTTGATCCAACAACTGAAATGCAAGCCGCATTAATACACACAAATACACAAACAAATAATGGATGGAAAAGAAGCAGCAACATGTTCTCAGTGCTTTTTCCAGCAACCAGGAAGACAAAGACACTCATTGCTTTGAGCAATGTTTCCACATATCCTATTCAACATGCCCCAGCCCCTTTTTTCAAGATACTCCATTGACTCAGATTGACGTCGATGCACACAGCTAGTCCTTCGCGCGAATCGATGACACCCATCGATGACACCCGCAAGCTTTGCGCGCTTGGCTGCAAAGCTTTGCTCAGGATACAACCAAGCCCCCCAGTACGGCTATGATGGTGTGGGCACCCAGTTGGTGGTCTTCCAGTCGACTCCAGACGGCCGAACACCGGTGGTCCGGTGGCGCAACTGGAGGCAGAGAGCAGGAAATTAAAGAATGGTTTCTGAATGCGACCAGCTCATTTGTCCCACTTCGATGCATTTGACAAGTACAGACGTTGAAGAAGGCAAGGGTGCTTTGAGGGGCCGGTATTCCTGTGATACGGGTCCAGCATGTGGCCACAGCACATGCTGGTAAGAAATGTAAACATCATGGCTGTATGAATAGTAAGGGCATCAAGAATTCAGCATAAATTGACAATGGGCTGGCCTATGAGCTTCTTTGCTTTTAGAAGTTTTGTCAGAGGAAGATGGAGCAGACATCCCCTTGTACCCTAAAGCTACTCGAGTTGGCCCCACCGCAGATGCACAGGTTACATCGACCTGCCTATAGTAGTACCTGGCTCTGTTGATCCAGGTCTCACATGCACTTACAGATTCGCACGCCACTGAAAGATTAAGGGTCACATAGGGTTACTCAACCCTTGTCTATACTAGGTGCGTTTCCCCTCCTCTTCGCGGGATTACCCAGAAAAGCGCAGCCCGTGCAGGTTCCTCAACTGATGTGGATGGCAGCACTGATGAACAAGAGACCGATGAGGACCGATGATGATCACAGTGCACACCGCCGGACCAGTGGATTTGCATGGATTTGCGTTGAACATTCTGGCAGTTGGGAGAGGGGTGTTTGTGACGTGATGGAATGTTCCCTCAAACATCCTCAGACCCAGATTTGGCTAGCGGTTATACTGAGCCAAGTTGAGCTTTTCCGCTGGCGCATCAGGAGCGTCGGTACGCCAGCGGATTTCAGCATGAGCAGCCCAGTTGAGCAAGCCACCACAATGTCCAGCTCTACCCAGGAAGATTGATATCCCTAGGGCTCCAAGTACCTCCTCGACTCAAAGGGTATTTGGACCCTCCAAACCCACCCCCCAACACCCTTTCGGAGGGAACTTGGAGCCCTGGGGTATGTAACATAACCTGAAAATTCCTTTGGAAGACTATATTTTCCTCCATATGCAACCCACTGGTTTTCACCAGGGAGTCGGTGGTGCATGGTGACCACCACATATGGACTCCCGTTTGGACCTCTGGCAGGAGACCATCGATCACACCCTCGTGAACCTGAAGCAGCCTCGTCGGGGACACTCAGTGGTGCCTGCACCAGACCCAGACGCTCCATGGGACTGCCATATATATATATATATGCCTACATTGACCCCCCAAACCACCCCAATGTAGGCAGCATATACTCCATACATGGAGCGTCTGGGAGACATGACCAGACTGGAAGATGACCAGACTTGCCGAAGCCCAGAGGATTCTGGCGAAGCTTGTGACCGGGTGATGATTCAGTCAGCTACTCGGGGGGGTTGCTTCTTGGGGTGAGGTGTTATGGGTTACCCGAAATCCTCAGACACCTCGGTCGAGTTCGCTTCTGTCGACATGACACCTTCCTTCGGTGCCGATGACGTGTCAGGTGGATGCCGGCCGCCGATCACGGCCGCGTGCTGCTGCCACGTGTGCTACGTTTGCCAGTTCTTGATTTTTATGGCCCCTCGGTCGGGACACGGGACATCATGAAAGGCCGAAGACGAGAGCGCGTTTTTTCGTGACGAGTGCCGCGTTTTTTCGTCGGATCATCGTTTTTGGTGAGGGAAGAAGTGGCGAAGCGTGACGAAGCGTGACCTCAGGGCTTTGGGAGGCCCTTGGTTGATTATGAAGTTCCCTCCCAGACACTCCATGTATGGCATTTATATGCCTACATTGACCCCCCCAAACCACCGCAATGTAGGCATATATACCTAGATCTTCAGTCCGGCACTTTTACAGGGTCCGGCGCCGGACTTCCAACTCCGGCGTTTTTCTGGATTTGGTCCGGCGCTTTTTCCAAGTCACTTTATGTGGATTCTCAAGGCTTTGCATTCTTTGTGGTCTGCATTTCTTTGAAGGTAAACCCACTACTGATGCAATGATTTTGTTTGCAAAGTGTGCTCGTTTGCCTGTTCCGCTGTTTTCTCGTTCCACCGGTTTCAGCATGGTTCACACTGGATCAATCAGATCCGTTTAGGTGATCTTCTATATGAAATCGGATGAAGCCGGTACAGTGCGATGCACCTGTTGAAAGACCCAAGTGGGTGTACCTAAGCTGAAAGAGCATAGGCAAAAATGCACTCCCATTGTTTCAGGATGTCGGGGCGCTGGGATATAGTTCTAGCTGCGCAGGTTTGCAGAGCCTGCCGGACAAGTTTTGGGCTGTGGAACATGTGTTGTTCAGAATCTCAATGTTTGGCAGAGAGTTGTCAAAAAATGGCACGTCGTAACTCCGGCGTAATTTCCCGTAATTCCGGCGTAATTTCCCGTAACTCCGGCGTAATTTCCCGTAACTCCGGCGTATTTTTTTGGACTGAGTCTTCTGCAGGCTTTGATTGTGAACAGTTTTTCACAGAAGAGTTTCGACAGGAACCATGAGTTCTGCTACTACTACTTTATTGGGGGGGCCGTCCTGAGGCAAGCTTTCATGAAACATTGAGAAGCATAAGAATCATGGAGAGCAGCCCACTTTGTAAAAAAACACTTTAGAGACACGGTTGCAGAGAAAGAGGGGTTCCTTGCCACATACTCCTTGGCTTTTTCTTGGAAGTTTTTGCTTGGGCACAAGTTGCTTATATTGTGTGATGGTTTTGCTCTTAGGCCATTCGCAAGATGGGCGAGGGCAATGGGAACGGGAAGGTTCGAGTGTGCTCCAGAAAAACTACTCGCGGCGCAAAGGCAGTTTCCTTGTGTATGATCCAACCTTTTATCATCTCTGTTTTTCAGAATCTTGGATCCGGATGTTTTTTCAGGTCTCCGGCGTTTTTTTTCGGAATCCGGCAGAAAATTTTGCCGGATTGAGGTCCGGCACTTTTTTCCGCCCAAAGGAGGATCCAGGTATGGCAGTCCCATGGGGTGTCCCCGGGTCGAATTCGCACAGGGTAACTTAAGTATAGTATAGTGATTTTGTATGACCACGACTACGTCCAGTAGAATGAGGTCATTGACAGGGATAAATACATATGTTCTTGAAGATTTCTTATGAACTTTCCTAGGATTTCCTTCTTGTAACTTGGAGGAGGGCTTCCGAAATCATGACAAGATCAGCGACTGGCAAAATTATTGGTTGACTTATTTAGTCACGGCATGACCCTGACCTATGTTGAGGGATTGTTTCTGTGCAAACCGGTAGTATGGTCCCACCAAAATAGAGGGTAATTTTACTAAGATCTAGTGGGTACTGGTACAAATAACGTTGTTGTAATTATGGTTTGTTGCATTTGCATGTTTTTTGGAGCTAAACCGATGGGCCAAGCTTTTCATCAAGGATTCATGATTCACCTTGCCTTAAACCAACTGCATTGTGTTGAAAAAAGACTTGACAGGATTCTTTATCCGAGCATTCTCCTAAACAACAACTTCGCCCAAATGATAAGCGAATGATCACCTAAATTTCCTAAATGTCACGCCAGGTACTCGACCCGTAAACCTATACATCTCCACAATGTTACTGTGTAATACTGTACTACATATTCATTGTTTGTGCATGGGCCGAGCTCCTAGGTCCTCGCTTATGTGTTGTGATCCTTGCACGGCCCAGTGCCACAAGAACCCAAGCGCATAAACAAGTGCTGTTCCATTCCTGTGCAGAAAGCACTGTAAGCCTGTAAGCCTCTAATCTGAGGTTGTGAGCATTGTGAGTTGCATTTTTGGCTACACAAGTCATTGTATCCGCTGCCCATGTGCCACGTGACACCTGTTTTTCGGAACACCGGGTGGGTCAGCCATGACGTTCTGCACCGTAGCACCGTACCGAGGTGGTTTTTCCCTTGTGGACGAAGTGGTTGGTGACGAACCCCATGCCAACTCAGCGTCTCGACTGGGCATTCTGGAGAACTGACATGCTGGTGACGCTGGTTGATTGGCGTGATGCTTGTAATATCTTGTAATAACAATCTATTTTGTGATGTTGGAAAGGACACCTTCAAACTTGCCAGGCTTCACCCACAAACAGTGGCCGGGCCGTGGGCGGGTCTCTTTTGAACGTCTCTACGTTACGTGGAAAACTCTACGTGGAAAATTGGCCACGCGCCCCTCAGACGTCGACGTTGATCTTCGCTCCCAGACGGTCACTTGAACCGACCCTGCTGGCTTCACGACCTGGGGCGCAAACTGCTTTGATGCAAAGAAACTATATCCACCAACCCACTTCCGCACCCGACCCCCCGCCTGGGCCAACACCTCCGTCTTGCTTTCCCGGGATTCCTCGGGTCCGTCCCGAGCCGGCAGAGCTGGGCCAGGTATTGGCATGAGCAGTACCCCAAGTGGCCGTCCATCGCAGCGGTGGGTGGCCAGAATTTGGCCGAAGAGTCTCCGGTGCCTTGGGCGGTCGAAGACGACGGTGCAGACGGTGCTTGTTGGAAGTGAAGGTTCTGCAAGATCCTCGCAGTGAAAGCATCCTATTAAGGATGAGTGTTTTTCTTTGTATTTGTATGGCATTCTTTCAAGTTTCCCTCCCTCATATATACTCTCTCACACACAGCTATTTACGGGCGCTTCGCCGGCCAGTGCCGCCAGTGCTGAGGTGAAATATCCCATCGAGATGTCCCCCATCCCGTCGCTCGGAGCTCTAAGAGAGCTACTAGTAGTTGGGAAAAGGAGACGGGGCGAGCCGTCGGCTGGTGGTACGAGAGGTTTCGTGCGGAAAGGCGTTGAAGAACATGGTGGAAATAGGTGGAAAGGACTAAAATGTGACATAATGTGACCAAGACTGTTAGGCTCAAAATGGCTCAAATTCTAATTTACATCGAACACCATCGGCCAAGGGGTCATCACCTTCCCAGGATTGTCGCCCAAGGCTGCGAGACATGGTGGGTTGGGCGTTTGATGGCCAGTTGTACATCATACCGTAGAAGTCCAAAGACTTTTTTTGAGACTCCCAAAGAGGATTTGTTGTTCGGGTATATATGCGCATGTATTATGTACAATTAACTATAATGCATATCATCATATAGGCAGCCAGGAAGCAAATCACTTTGCTAAGAGTTGGCGCATTGTAGATTGTGGACTCAGGGTGGTGCTTTCGCAGAAGAAAGCAAAAAGATGTTGGATGGAACACACCAAGACTTGGGTCCCAAAGCGAAGGTCATCGCGTAAACTTCAAGCAGTGACCTACTAAATCAGTGGCCACGGAGTGATGATATCGCCGGTGTCACTTCACCATGCGCGATCGTGTGTTGTTCTTTTTTTTGCCCAGGGCCCCGCACCATGCATGGGACGCGTGCATATCCTTGTTCCGTTGGGAGCTAGGCAGCAGTCGGACAGCTGCAATTATTCCTGCTCCTCGTGGCGGGGCTACCGGACCAACGAGATGAACTTCCGCGTGAGCTTGACCTTGAACGATTCCATCCTGGCCAAAGGCCAAGTGACGTGTGACGTGCGTGATGTGGCACTGTAGGGCCAATGTATACGGGTCGGTAGTTAGAAGGGGATGGCTGGGGTTTGTCCTAATACCTGTAACATCCGGCAACAGTCGGTAAACAATTATATACAACTATTTTTGGACAAGGCCTTTAATAATCTTTAATCATCGTCATCATCCACTGTTACAGGTAATAGGACAGACCCAAGCATCCGGGATGGCTGTGTTTAGCTCCACTTGGCGGCTGAGGATGAAGTCGGCATGTTTGGATGAATAGGGGTGATCCAAGATCAAGAGGGACTCAACTCTTCACAATCAGAGGCACCGGCAACCAGTTGCACCATTTGCCATTTGAGATATGCATGATGATTTGAAGCCCACAAACCACCAAACATTATGTGTGAACAAAATATGCTGTTGCACAGTTCGATTATATATGCGATCTTGGGGTTGTGCCGCCCCTCCGCCAACAATCGTTTGGAAGACTCTTTCTAATGGCCCCTTAGAAGACGACTTTTCTCTACACTCCCAAGTTTGTTGAAGAGAATTTGGCCTTGACCCACAACCATCCCACTGCCACATGATCGAATATTTGACATCCACTTCCGTGATTGACTGACATGTTGATGACCAGCTTTCTTTCGCGAGGCTATGTTCACACGGTGTACCCAGTGTTGCTGGCCTCGGCAGACTTCAATGATTGGTGGGTTGCTTGGCGTTCTTTGCAAGACATCTCTATAGACAGAAGAGGGAATTTTACATCCCACAGATTTCATGCCGAATAGAGAACCCCAGGAAGTGTCGTCCCAGATGAATGGATTGAAATGGATTGAATTGGTACTATCAGATAGGGGTCCCAGACTCCCAGATGTGGTCTATTTTTGATCAACTCAGGTTGTGGCTGATCGAAGACACTCCTATCCCCAACCTTTCTGGAGGGCCAGGAGCGGGCGTTCGAACATCAAGCGAGCGATCTCGCATGGTTTCGCGGCGCGTGTTTGTTTGGAGGTGTCAGTTCTGATAGGCTAGCAGACGCGAATTCAACATCAAGCTGCACCCCCTTCAAAAAGCCTCAGAGAGACCGCCTGAGAAGCCTTTTCAGCTGCAGTTTCGAACCTGCGTGCTTCGAGAGGACAGCTGCTGCTGGACATGCCTACACCTACACGACTGATACTTGCAACGTGCCACCAGACAGTCAGGATTCAATCAGCAACTCGACAGCCACAGAGTCAGCATGCCCCCCCACAACCACTTCCTGCTAGTGACTATATAGTGACATTTGCGTCACCAACTCCACCTGATCTTCCACACCACCCTTGGAGTACAGTATTTATACCTTCTCTTCAATCTTGCCTCTCCGCATTCAGATGGTCCATCCCCCCCCGGTTCCCGGCTGAGACGTCACCGGCCGGCTTACACGGGGCAGGTCAGACCACCTCCGGGCAGTACGTGCTCGCCTGCGTGGTGTGGAAGCCGTCCAGCTTCGCAGCCCTGGAGGCCATGACCTCGCCACTCGGTTCCGCGTGGGAACCGCGTGGGAACCGCGTGGGAACCGGCGGAAGGCACCGGCCGGTGTGGCGCGAGAAAGGAAGGAAGGAAGGGGATGTAGGATGTAGGATGTATATGTTAATATATGATGTGTATATACATATCCTACATAGATATGAGAGAGAGATAGGTGTGTTGGTGGGGGGGTGGATTGAATTGTGTGTGGTATAGGGTAGGGGGTCTTCGTGGATCCAAGAGGTTTGATATGGCTGTCTCCTCGTTCGGGATTGACGTCATGCCTGTGGGGATGATCTTCCTGGCTGTTCTTCGTTCGTGTTCCGTCCATTTGGGCGGCTAAACAGATCAATTCCGGAAAGAGAACCTCGAGTTCGGCACGGGTTCCACTGGCCTGGCCCGCGCGACCGCCCAGGGTGGAGGATTCGGACATTGGCACACACTGCCACAGCGCAGGCGGGGATTGGCTACAACCGCCAGTGTTTTTGTTCCTAATTGGATATAGACTTAGATGACTGATATAGTGTTGGAATGTTCTATTCTAATATGTTCTGAGTCTATTGGTGCACACTGGAAGCTGTTCGTGTTTGAGTTTTGGGGCGCTACAGCTGCTCAGCAGTCGAGGAAGGGGCCGGAGACCCAGGGCGCTTCCCGGTCAAACACCGACACATCCCTGGCCTGGGCCTTTGCGGCTAGGATGGCCATAATCGTAGGTGGGAGGTATGCCCAGATGGTCAACCACGAACCCCTGCGGGTTTGGCGATGTCAAGTGCTCCAGACAAAAGATCAAGAAGCCAGGGCCAGAGATACAGAAGACCCAAAAGTCCATAGATTATGGGTTTGGGCTGCTCCATGGTCCAGGTACTCAGTGCTTGGTTGTGACTTGTAATTAATGTAATCAACTTGTGCAAATGTGCATGTCATCATCCAACCGGTGGAAAGAGAACCAATTCCAACGAAACACGCACAGCAACACCCCCCAAACCCACCTTTTGCACTTGTTTCTTTAGCTTAGCCTAGCCAGCTCACCCAAAAAGGTGCCAGTTCTTCACCTGCTTTTTCCTCCAGTGAGCCCAGTGACTCTAGTGCCATAAGTCCACGGTCTTTGGTTGATTTGAGCACTGGAGGTGCCAGTGCTTCACCGCCCGCAGGTGGTGTGTGTGGCTGGACCTGCGACTCGGTCATCAACAGCGACTTGCTGGAGGGATGCACCGCGGACAGCACCATTGAGATGACGCAGAGCTCCATCGCAGGGCGGGAGATCCCAAGTGCCAACTTCCAGGGGAAGATCGAGATGAGGGAGCCCTGGTGGAAAGGTGGAAATGGGGGAGCATCTAACTGATTGTTGATGTGTTTTTTTTCTTCTCTGTGATTTTGTGAAGTGGCGGGAGTAGATGACCTCTTTGGGTTTTGAGGAAGGCTGAGTTCGTTGGTCTTTGTCCGGCTCCTTACCGGGAAAGGGAAAGGGGTTTCTCCATCGTAAAATGGGTTTCCTCATGAATAACAAGGTGGTTTCCTCATGGAGACAGATAAATAGCATGGTGGTACACTAGTATACAACCCCCAGGAGATGGCAAGAGGAGGTGAACGCCCATTGTCCAAAAGAGAGCTTGTGGGCGATATGTTGCCGAAGCCTCGAAAACCGTGAAATCCCGATCGAAGACAGTGTGTTGGTGTGCTGTGTTGTGTGTGTTGTGTGTGTGTGTGTCGCTCCAGCCAAGCGGCCCTTCCTAATGGGTTTGCCGCCGCTCTCATGCTCTTAGGAGTGCATGAATGGTGGAGTGAATGGCGTTTGCGACACCGGCACCGAGAAGTTCAAGCAATGGAATTGCCACAAGTGTTTGTACGACCCTCGAACTGAAGATGACATGAGGCCGGCATGTGTGGGCGCCCTGGATGGGCTGGCAAGAGGGCAGAGTGGGAGCAGATGTGATGGTGGAGTAGCTGTACTTGTCAAGTGTATAACTCTATATGCTAGCAGATGGGTATTGTACAAGTAGCGGTCTCAGCAAAAATGATCAGTTGTTTTTTGGAGATGAAGCGCATCAGACCAACATACTTCAGCTGTTCTGTGGGGAACTGAGGAACTGAGAGCCAATCATGCCTTCTGAGTTAAACAAACATGATGAAACCAAGTTAAGGAGAACTGAATGCTTGCGGTCAGGGGCGTGGGACCGCTTTATACAACATGCAGCTTGGACCTTAGAACATGCGCGGCACATCCCACAAAAAAAAAAACAGACAATTCACTCTGAGCAGGTGGTCCAGCGGTTTCCCAGACTGTCTCTACAGTCCTGCAAGGTTTCTTCCTCCAAAGGCGTTCCAGCGGTCCGGGCTCCGCAAGTCCTTCCAGGCGGCGCTTGCAGATCATCCCCGGCATCGGCGGTTTGCCTGCCGGACTGCCGGGCTTGGACACGGACCCGGATACGCCCGCCACGCCTGGAATTCCAGGAGTCCCAGGCATTGACCTGCCAGGCGTTGGTGGGGGCTCCAGCTCGGAAGGACGCTCAGCAGTGACCGTGCTGGCATGCGTTCCAGGCAACAAATTGCTGGGGGTTGAGAGGTGCTCCTTTCCTATACTTACACGACCTTGACGTTTGGAGGAGGGGAAGATGACAGAAGACTACCCGTTTGGAATCCAATTATATTTCTAGGATTCCAGGTCATGCCCAATTCCACACGGGTATCATAGGATGACCATACCCTAGGCCCTAGGGTATGGTCATCCTATGATACCCCCTAGCTCTCCAACCACATCCTGAGAAGGTAATTTTACCCCAAACCTACCCCAACCACCTGAGGCTGTGGTTGGAGCCCTAGGGATAACCACATACGATCTTTTTCAGGACACACCTCGTATCCGGTCCTTTCGTCCTGTGTATCCAGTGCTCGGTCCTGTGATCCCGTGCTCGGTCACTGTAAGTGAATCTGACGAACGAGCTGTAAAACCCGCACGGCGGAAGTGGACTTCCTTGGCTTCGTCACGGTTGTTCAGGGTGAATAAAAAAAGGATCCACCGCCGATTTGGTCTTAAAGACCGAATGAATAGCCCAATTACGCATAGACCGCATCCAGCACCCGTGTTTAGACTCGATTAGACCACACTGGTTCTTCGCAGCGGTTCCCTAAACCGGGTTCGGCCATCCTCCGTGCCCAGGAAAGGGCCCCATGATCTACACCTCCCTTCCGCGGTTCCATGTCACAGTCAGCGGTTCAACGGCACCGAATGGCATTGATGTCTTCAACCAGCCGCGGGTCTTCGTGTTGCAGTCCTCCAGGTCCAGCCAAGGCTGCTCATCCTGCATGCAGGTGTTTGACGCGGAATGAGCCCTTCTTGCGAATGCAAGATTGTAGTGACTGATGATGTGTATTTCAAGTCCATCATAATATGATCTATACATTACAGATCAATTTCTGAGGTGTTTTTTGTTTGCATTTTGTTTCAAACTGGAGTGGTTGAAAGTTGAAAGGTGTGATTCTTGCGGGACGGTGCGTGGTAAGAACAAGCATGCAACCTGACTCAGGAAAGTGGAGGAAACTCTACAAGCACAACTACGGCATGACATCTCCACCAGAGGCTGTGGGCAAGGACAACAAGCCGCTGGTCAAGGAGGACCCCGATTCCTATGACGAGGAAATGGTGCCCGTCCCACTTGAACTTGCTCAACACGGATTTTGCTGTTGTTTTGTTCTTTGAGGAAAGGTACTTGTTGATGCTACACTCATACAGTCATACACATTCCAAACTCCAAACTATATAATAGTCACGAGCAACATGGTAACACGCAAACACCCAATAGCTTGATGCCGTAGGTGGTGGCCTAGTCAGCCTCGTATGTGACTACTTTTCCACACTTTTCTCCTGAGACTTTACACTTTCGTCCGAAAGTGTTCTTTTCGGAGAGAAACTTGTTTGAAGACATTCTCCACTTTTGTGCCATTCTACATTGTTTGGTTTTATACCCTTCACTTTTGGATACCTTTTGCTTTGATTGCCTGCTTTTGGTTCTAAGTCCATGTCCTTTCCCTTGTTTCAACTTTCAATGGCCATGCTCATAATTTATCGGTTCCTTTTTCACTGGTTATAAGCAAGACTCCCAAATAGCTAGTCCTCATCCACGTCCCTGGTCTCTTCTTAGCCCCGTCACGAATCCCAAATCTATTTATGACACAATACTATATTATATAATATATTGTTTGTTAATACATTATAGATTGTTTGTGACCAATATAGTTACAATTTCATAGACTAGATGGTTTGCAACACCACACCGGGCAAAAGACCCGACCTCCGACAGTCGGTCCCTCCAGGTCCAAGATCCAGTGAGTGCCCATGCCATGAATTTGAACCAGCAGAATCGCTTGGACATTGACCCCGGCTGGTGCTACGGACGTCAGGGACCCTTGTACTTGGTGGCGTGCGCGGTGAACAGCACGCTGCTGGGCGAAAGATGGCGAGTTTTTCAGGTTTGTCGCCCCATCCCGTGCACGGGTTGTCGCGCTGGATTTCTCGTGTGACGTAGCGTCCATTTCATGCCATGCCACCAATGCTGTTCTCAGGCTCTACGAGGGAACCTTCACCCGATTCAAGGCAGGACAACAAGCCGCGCCCCCGCCCTTCAATGACCGTTGTGTGGCCGTGAGTGGGCGCTGCGCCTATGCGTGCCAGTCCGAGCAGAGGCCCTTGGCCAACTGTACCGCTGCATCTGGGCAGATCATTCAGAGGGGGCATGCCCTGCCCCCACAGGGAAGAGAGAGAGAGAGAGTCGTAAAAACATGTAAAAACAGTGGAGGCCAGTGCATGACTGCACCACCATGATCCACTGTTGCAGGCCATGGACGGGATCCATCATGGAGTGTATATGTCCAGAGTGTAAGTGTGTGTGTGTGTGTGTTGGTGTAAGGAGACGCCCTGGCGTATTTTGGTCCAACTGCGACTTTGCCCTTTGCCCTGGGCTGGGCCGTTTTGTGTGAAGGGATCGGTCGCAATTCTGCAGTCATGATGAGAGTAGTGAGGAATCTGCATGTAAACCTCCCAGGTCAGCACTGTTTTCTTTTTTGTCCCAGTCTCCAAAAACGGGCCCTACGGCGCGTCTACGGTCAAAGACTTACCGCTAAAGACGTACCTTTGACATCTATACTTACCACACTGACACTTGCTCGTTTTCATGTACTGCTATCAACACAATTAATCCAACGTTGGGGGGCTGAAGTCACTGACTTTTTCTTGCAAGACGTGAGTTTACCCACCGAGCAGAGACACCACGGACTCGGGGGGGGCTTGGACTGTGTTCACTCGACCTGCGTGCGCCGCTCATGCCGCAGCTTTTCAAGTGAATCACTGTTTCGGACGGGTGAGGATGGCTACATCAACCAGACTGCCTTGGTTGGATATGTTGGCTATGAGAAGAACCAAACGGCGCCTGTGTGGCTCTTTTGCTATGTCTTGTTGATCGGCTTCGGCGTCAAAGCAGTCATGCTTTGCCCAGGTGTTTTCTCTCCATATCCCCACTTCCGGAGGTATGACCCCGAGCTCACCGCAACCAGGCTGAAGTAGATAGTTTGTTGGAAGACGTAGTAAAAACAGTAGACATCACTTTTCCGTATTGCGCTATGGGTGGATTTAGGCCCAGGCCTGGTTGAATTTGTTCAAGACATAGGCAAACCTGCGCTACATCACCGTATGTATTCCCAGTGCCGGAGAGAACAAGTGCGTGGTGCTGAGAAATGTCATTGGTGCAATTGGTTGCATGCCCAAAGACTGCCGTTGCCGCTACCACGTAACCTTTGTTGACGAGGGCCACCGATATGAGCAGAAGGTCATGTTCATGAAGCTTGCAGCTGTTATTGACCGCATCCCGAACTTCGGTGGCGTCAGCTATGAGGAGAACGTGAGCAGGTTCTTCCAGACATGGGTGGAAGAGACCAAGAAGTTGGACTTGGCCAAGGTGAAGGATGGAGCAAAGGGAGAAGATGTAGAGCCACAGTACATGGTAGCTTGGTGTACATTAATTAGGGTGGTGTGTAACCGGTGAGCTCAGTCAACAAGAGTCCGTTGATGTAGATGAAATATATATATATATAACAACACATATTGAATGTTGTATGGACTTGTAGATGGTATCAGTTGTGTATGTTATCCATTTATCGATACGTGTGCGTGTGTATGTGTGTTTGTGCATGTATGTAAACTACATACACACCACGTATATGCAGCACATTGCAGCACATATGCGCTTACATGTGTAGCAGCACAGAGTTGTGTGCAAACAGCGTTGAAGTGGCAGCAATATTTGAAGGAATTTGGATTTCAAGCACTTGCGCCTCCTTGGCTCTTAGTTGTTCAGCCTTCCAACGCCTTCAACACGACGGAACATTTGCATATTTTTTCCGGCTACCATGGCCAGTTCAGGCCAAGCACCGCCTCTCAAGAGAGCATCCGACCGAGCCGTTTTTGCACCCCAACAATTCGCGCGGTGCTGCGGTGCTTCCTGAGGTGCGCATGTGTGGGAAGAGTTCCCTCAAGAAACTCCGCACCGAGGGCGGTTGGGGAACCATGGCTCCGCAGGCGGGGGCCGAGCCGAGTTTTGGGCAGAGTTCAGGGGATGGCTTCACCAGCGTGCCAGCTGCAGCACCTACACTGTGCAGCTCATGAAAAACAACAGAAAAACAATTAGATCATTTATAGTATATGATGAAGTTCCGGATGTTTCATCCAGGAGTTTTCAAAGGGGTAGTGTTGAGTCCTTCAGTGAGTGGGCCCCCCTAACCTCCAGATCCAGCACCCCGACATGGAACTGCTGGATCTTTGACTGGGACCGTTTTAGCAGCGTCGACGTCAAACACCTGTCCCGTTGCAAAGACGACTTCTAGAGGGGCACAATTATTGGTTGCCTTCAATCCCCAACTGAATGGCCTCAATAAACACAGTGTCTATATATATATATGTGGAAGATCAATGACCATCAAAGACTCAAATAGACAAATAAGTGTTGGACACAAACTCCGTTGAGACTCTGGAAGAATCAGACACCTTGGGAAGCTGGCGTTAGGAGGGGGGCTTGACTGCAACTCCGTGACTGATTCTGCGCCAAAGCAAGAAGAACTCAGATAGTTTAAGCTGATTTTTGGTGATAAGAGGCAACAAACTAGTTTGGAGTTTGGGATGTGTAGTGTTTTTTTTGTTAGGCAATCCCTTCTGTGCATTTTGCTATGTTGGGGTGACTTTAATAGTGATTGATGAACAGTTCGGCATTCCGACAGAAAAAAAGAGATCTTCTCAAATCAGAGGCAACTGTGACCAGCGACAAGCAGTAGATTGCCGTGGGCAAACACCTTCGGTTTGCAGCGACCAAGCTGTCGGTTTCAGGCGTTGGAACCCTTGGAGCAGGCACTGAATGGTTTGGAGGAAGATCTCAAGAGCCGCCTGGGATGCGAAGGGAACGGTCCTGCACCAGCAGTCACAAGACGGGGTGCTCTCCATGGAGGTTATATAGGGGTGTCCATGATCCACTCACTTAGGAACTAAACATCATCCCTTTGTGACTCCTGGTGGTCAGTCATATAAGTGGAGAGAATGAACCAGGAGAGTGGTTTCCCACGCAATTACCTGGAAGAACGTAGGTGGATGCGTTTGAACATTCCTTCTTATAGATTAAACATGAGTAGCTCTTGAATAGTTGCTCGTTTTGTGGTCACTACAGTGCACATGTTTCAATGTGTTCTTTGTCGCCTGGGAGTTGCACTGGGAAGGGCGCTGGGCTGGGCGGACCATGTGTGACACCCTGCATTCGCGTCGGGGAGTACCAGCCCGGACCGAGTGCTTCGGGACCCTAACAGGTACCAAACACTGAGAGGTGTCTTGCTGGGGCACCTGTGGACTATGGCCACGAAACGCCGAGGGAACCCTGATCGATCTTGGACAGGTGTCACATTTTGCAGTGGTGCTCTCCCCTGTAGGTGGAGTGAAGACTTTGATGTTTTGACTTCACACCATTCCGGTTCGTGAAAGGGCCTACGTTGGTGTGCCGAATATTTTGAGCCACAAGTCCCCAGACGTTGTGATGGTCGAAACCCCAAGGGACGGATGAGACGGCGCGGAATCCATTTGGAGACTTACTTTGTTTGTTGCTGAGGCAAGAAGGAGGAGAAGAAGGACATGCACCGTGATGATGTCGCAGACTGGGAGCCCAAGGACCGCAATAGCTTGGCGCTTCGAATGCACTACCTCGCGCGTGCCAAGCCCATTGAAGATGAGCGTACCATCAAGGCTCAGCATGTGGCGCCAGGAACATGGTACTACAAGGTCCCAGTGAATGCGGAGAACAAGGACTGGCTCAAACTTCGTGCTAATGCCAGGGAGATGGTGTATGGTTTGGAGGACGATGATGCTTTCATGAACAACGTCCCTCTACGAACAAGCCGTGGAAAAGCAGGCGGCTTGAATTTCTCAGAGAACTACTTGTGCCTCTACGCAGACAGGCCAGAGAACATGTACAATGATGAGCGAGACAACTACCCATGCCTCTACAGCATTTGCGATGCTCGTCATCAGTTCCAGACAGATTTCTTTCACACCACCATCCCGTACTTCTTTGACGATGACATGGAGCTGAACCCCTACGTTGGCTTCACCCAGTGCCCGCAGTTCTTCCACGAGATGCAGGACAAGTTGGATTACTTGGACAACAACAATGCTCAGTTCTTCCGCTTGAATTGTATGATTCGAAATTGCTGCGGTGGTGTAAGCTCTTGCGGAACCAATGGTACTTGGATGATTAGGCATCCTCCAGGAGATTTGGTGTGGGAGAAAGAAAGGAGGCGAGTGCGAGATGCGGAAAGCAAGCGAAAGAGCCAGGAGTATGTGGAGCGAAGAACCTTCCACGAAAGTTGCAAAGTCGAAGACACAGCCAGTAGTCTTCAGCAAGTGCTGCGGGGTCGTCGCTCCCAGTTCATCAATCGTCGCTTGTCCTTTGGCATGGCCAAGAACCCGGTAGACTACCTGGCGGCCGTGCAGCGTTGGGCCGAAGGAGGCGTGGTCTTGTCTCTCCAGACATTCTTCAGCTGCCACAAAGGTGTCTACATGGTGTGGTTCACGCTGATCTTCTTCTTCTGCTCCTTGAATTGAACTGATTCCTCCCATTTTGGAGAAACATTTGCAGGTAGGGATCTTCGCCAAGTGAAGCTCAGCTAAGGCTTTTTGGCATCGCTCTTCCGCATGGTGGGCAAGACGGACTCCACTTGGGCGATCGTCCGATGGGGTTTGGTGGATCAGGACAGATGTTTGGAACAGGTGGGTGGAGCTTCCAGGGCCACGGACTTGGGGAGTGGTGCAGTTGTTATTCGGTGCTTGCTTCTGTCACACGTTTCACACCAATGGGCTCCAAAGCAGCCCGAAAGCGTGTACTTGGTGTGGTCACGGGGGTATATCGCGATGACCACATGGAACCTGTCCTCAACATCAGTTTGTTCTTGGGGTAGTTGGCAACTCTTGTCAGTTCAACGATCGCGCCACGACTGTTTTGCCATGTGGGACTCTTCGCTTCCCCATCGCAAAACCCGGGTTCAGCGGGACGGACGTGTGCAGGAATGGTATGACCAGGCCATCAGCCCGGTACTGGACAGCATGAAACACTTGGCGTTCCTTGGACGTCTTCGCACGCCCGGAGTTCGGAACGCCCGGCTGGTTCGGAACGCGTGCCTGGCTACAGTCCCTCTTCCATGAATCACGTGGAAGCCCCTAAAGGATGACCATGTTAGAAACAGGTGAACTTCTACTTCATTATTTCGTAGAGTGTGTCCCCCAGGCGTTCAGTGGAGGGAGATCGCAAACCGGAGAGATTCTTGTTTTGCATGCGTCGACTAGAGGCATAGACTAGATGCCCCGATGACAGAGCAGAAAATTAAGCGCTTGTGACGCAGCGGAGCAGAGGAGCTTTGTTGATGCCCCTCCACCCAGGAAGGAAAATTAATATGCAAGACACGTTGGTACATACGTGGGCAAAGCACTTACGAGACGGATTATCCAAATGAATTGGAGTTCCCGTGCTGCTTGCCAAAGAGAGTTCATCCTGAACGTTCCGACCCCAAGAAAGACTCGGTGGGAACCACCCCAGGGTGGTGTGTGCCACCAGCACGCCCCCTGTGCAGCGAGGTTGGTGGCTCGAAGCGAATATTTCAAGCAAAATCCGGAGCTGCTGGAGACCTACCTCACCATGACCCTCCAGTTCATCAGCTGGGTTTTGACCTTGGACCCTCAGTACTTTTAGTATGTTTTGACTGCAGGAACCGCCTAGTAGGCCCAGTGGTCAGATTTTCGGAAGGAACCTGGAGACTCCAGCAACAGCTGAGCGGATCAACAGAGAAATGGTTTCTGGGTCCGGGTCAGTCACACCCCCAAAAAGAAACTGGAACCTTCCAAAGTCATTTGTTCAATATTTATGTTTCGATAGACACATTTTTGCTGGATTGTTTGTGGGACCATGCTGACCACACCCTGTGTTGCAAATCTCTTCGCCCCTGGTGGGTCATTTGAACATGGAGGTCTTCTTCCTCTTGCTGGTCTTCCTCTTCACTGAGCTTCTGAAGTTAGTCCAGAGGACTTGCGGCCTCCGGCTTCCAGTGATTTGGCCAGATGAGATGCGATGGTGGGGACGGCTCCTGATCTCCATGGATAACTTGACCTACTTCTTGTGGTTTTGGACGGCCTTCTTCTGGACGCTTGGTGGAACAAGAGGGCTTCACGAGTTCCTATAGCCTGTGGTGCTTTTGGGTGAGCATGTGTACACATATATGCATATATAATTGTATATGGTCTATGCACACATCATAACCCACCGGGGTGGGACAGACGGGCTGACAGACCTTTGTTCCAGGATTGGTTTCAACTACTACAGCATCTTCGCGAAGCGCACGTACCACTTCTCATCCACGGGCATGTTTTCCTTCATGCTGATCGTGCAGATTTTGAGTTGGGGCATGATCATTGCATCGTCTTTGCGCTACACGCTCTCTACCAGTATGGAAGCCAACGAAGTGATTGGGCTGTCCATGGACAACATTTGGCGATCCACCCAGCTCTTCTACATCTCCGCACCTTTGCTGCTGTATTCCATCATCAAGGGCATTCAGGATTACATGAGATACCAACTTTACGGTGAAGACATCAGCTATTGGGTTGGTGGTGACCGTGGTGTGATGTCTAAGAACTTGGTGAAGTATTGGACGTTGCTCCTGATTTTGGGCGCTATCGGTGCATGGATTTACTACCTCATTGAGGGCCGGAAGCACATGGGTGTGCTGTCAGCGGTGATCATTGTATCTTTGATTGCTCTTGATGTGCTTCACCCTTGCACCTACCTGTGGGTGGAAAAGACCAAGTTGAAGCCAGCACAAGCGGCCAAGCTTACTTGGAGTCAAGCCTTGGTGACTCGTGGATGGTGGGAGTTGATGATCAGCAACTTGATCCTGAATGAGACTGTGACAGGTCTCATGAAGTGGCTTGGGCCAGCGTGGTTTGTCCTCATGCCCTTCTTGACCCTCTTCATGCCCTACATCGGTGTGAACCAGGCCTTCATGATGATCGGCTCGACGACCAACCGCTGAGCGCCCCGGTTGGCCTCCCAATCTGCCACTGGTCCGTATGACTTATGACTCATGACACTATTGGTCACATTTGGGCATTTACATGTTAATGAGGATCGATCATCATGGGCATTTGCCGTTGATTTAAATATGACAATGAAGGGGCTACTGCACTAGTACTGCAATTCCACAGTCAATGTGTATACGTGCACAAGTTCCACGTACTGTATTTTGTTGTCTCGCGGTGTTTCGCTTTTTAGCAATAGCGTGTTGGAGTTCTTCGGGCACCAGAGCTGGCAGATTGGAGCCCGGCAGTCCTTTAGGAGCGTCAAGGTGACCAGCCAAGGATGTTTCGAGTGCAGGACATCCACAAATCATAAGTGGACTCTTCAATCTGCCCACAACCCCCACAACCTCATGTTTCGCGCTACCCTCTTCAGAGGCCCCCTGAATGTTAGGGGGTCACCTCAGCTGAAGGATCGGCCTCTCAACGAAGGCAAGGCTCGCGCTTGAACCTCAAAGCTCCCAGCAATGTGATCCAAAAGCACTTCAATCACGCATAATTAACCCTTCAAAGGCAACAAAATGATACCAAATGCCTTCGGGGCCCAAATGGGCCAGAGAAACGAAGTTGAGAGGTCCATCTGACTTAGATCGATCCAGCTCTTGAGATGGGGCGGAGTCTCGGAGTGGTGGTGCTGCAGCAGTGACGCTGGCACGATCCTGCGCAGCCTTGGGGTAAGCTTGCTTCCAATGTGCTGGGGAACCATCGAGGACAACAATAGGACCAGATGAAAACACATGACAACATATGCAATAATTTATTGGTATTGTAGCAGTATAACAATAACAGCTGACGTTTCGTAGTGACATTTTCTAGCTGTGTCGTGGATCACGCTGCCAATTGGAAAGCAATACCTCACCTCAGGGTTCGTGCAAGCTCCGCCTCCCATGAACACAGGAATCAGTTTGAAAGCCTCGCGACGTTTTCCCCGTCGGACGTCCGACGATCAATTTCCAACCTGAGATGCAAGATGAAAAGTCTTGGGAAAGGAGTCTTGGGCATCCGATGGCCATGGCCGGCGACGGCCGGAGTGGGGCTCACGTGGCAGTTTCCGGTTATGGTCGGCCGTCTTGGACTGGCGCTATTTGCAATTTTCGGCCCAAGGGGAAGAGGAGCCCCCAGACATTGTCAAGTGAAACATGCGACACAACTCCAAGATTTTCCAAGTGCTTTTTGTTTACTACCCTGAGTTTTTGCTGGCAACACGGATCACAGCCATGAGCCATCGGCAGCTGATCTACGACAGTGACTTGCCTGGGCGTTGGTGAGGTGACCATGGTTTTCAGAAGATCGCAAGAAGATCCATGGTCTTGAGATGTTTTGAGGCAATTTTGGCTGGTAGCGTTTGCCAGAAAGCAGCCTGAGAACCAGCCTGGGAACCTCCCACTCAGCCCAGCTCTCGAAACCAATCAAAACCAGTTGAACCGTTGGAGCCCACGGCGCCGTCCAGGCGGTCCATGCGTACCGTTTGCCGTTTGGCTCAGACAGTCATCCTGCAAGTGGTTTTCTCGGCGGAGGTGGATCCACCGCCAGAGCGGTTTCCGGAAACCCGCTGATGCCATAGAATAATAGCATAGAATTCTTGTATACATGTCTTAGAAGTTCTTATATATGTATTTGTATATATATATAATATATATATATATATATGCAAGTAACACAAAGTAACATAAACCAGCATTTTCAATCTCAAATGAGCCTCCCTGAGATGCTAATTATATATATATATTATACATATTACTATATAATATATTCCATTGTAGCCTTTGTACATGCGTCAGCGTGTATGTATGCATTGATCCATATTTATATCCCACAAAGCCCGTGCCGGGCCCGTTGATCTCTTCGGCCTATGCGCCGGTCCTCGGAGTCCTCGTCCTATGGACCGGTCATCTCCACTCGGACCTCTCCAGCCATGCCATCCTGCCAGCCCTGGGTCGGTTGGCACACCGCGCTTCACGTGGCGCCGGTGGGACCGGTTTCACGTCGCGACCCTTCATGTGGCCCGACAGGGTCTGTCTTGGGGCTGGGCAATGAGTGCAGCTCTGGCACGTGCGGCGCTGTGTAGCGCCGGGCGCGGGCGGAGCCACAGGAAGCGGGTGTTGCGTGCGATGTTGCCACTGCTGCCGGATGAGGATGGGTGAAACCAAAACGTCAACGTACGACAATCAGAAACCAATCGATTTGTTTGTTCTTTGCCAAGGGGATTGGTGCATTGGGCATTTGGGGAGGCCTGCGATTTTGAAGCCAGGCTGGTGCCATTTTGATGCTTCCCTCCATCACCACGGTGACCTTCTACGAGGGCGAACCTCGAAACGAGATTCTGAGAGACATGACCAAGGAGCTTGTGCTGGCGAACCCATGGCTGGCAGGTGAATTGTGTCGCGATCCAGCAGGAGCAGCATGCCTGAAGCTGCCCGTCTCGATTGAGCTGACGCGACATTATAAAGAGACCACTCGTGAAGAGCTGAGGATGGACATGCCCTTGATGAAAATGCGGAAGGCCTTGAAGGATGTCACGGTGAAGCCTGGTATCGATTGCTTCGAGTCCTCCAAGCCTCTCTTCTTCGTTTCACTACTTCGCTGCGGTGTTTCCTCCTTTGCCTTGGTCGTGTCCATGAGCCATGTCCTGGGCGACGGCTTCACTTTCTATCGACTCTATGGTGCCTTGGATCAGGGTTTGGCCACTGTGGCTGGCGTTCAGTATGCTGCGGGCGAGGGGCCCGCCCGCGCCCGCTTGAATCCCAGGAGGAACTTGAGCTTCCCTTCCGTGATGTCCAGTTTACTAGGCTGGGCGTGGCAAAAGTTGCCGTCGGCAAAAGTTGCTATCACAGAGGAACATAGCACCCATATTAATGCACATACATATATATATATATGTTTACAGCCAAACGAGGGCCTTAGCCTGCACTTCTCGTGCATCGACTTCGTTTGAAATATGTTTATAACTATTTTCTCGGGCGAACTACTCTACTGTCAATAGTGTTGGATACAGTCGTTGAGACAACAGGTTACACATATAGCTAATATATATAATTATATATATATAACTATGTTTGCAATTCTAGAAAGCAATTTAACAGTAGTTTTTTCTTGACAAAGGAGGGAAGAAGAAGAAGAAGAAACACCATCTACTAAGAATCTACTAGCAACTACTAGCACCACCATCTAGTTCGCCTCCCCCCAATAGGCACTATGGGCACCGGTCCGACCCAACATGATGGTCATGTGATTTTCTGACCTGTTGGTCACCAGGAGCGCAGAAAGTGAGCTGGCCCTCTTCGCGGTGGGCTCATTGGGGTGCTCGGCTCGATGGAGCCATAAGACCCAGGCATCGTTGGCGTGCCTGGTATGTGGATATGGCTTGGCTGGCTGAGGAGAAGCGCTTGAATACTGATGATCACGGCTATGTCTCAAGCAATGATGTGCTCACATCTTGGTTTCTCACTAGGGGTCGCTTTGACTATGGCATCATGTCCGTGAATTTTCGTGGACGCGCCTGCCAACTCGATGGGACCAATGCCGGAAACTACAAGGGAGGCCTCGCCTTTTGGCCGGAGGAGTTTTCGTCTCCACGGAGCATCCGGCAGGCCATTCAAAATCGCTTCCGCACCGAGCGTGAGGATGTGCCGGGATTCCTTCGAAGCGTGCTGGGTCGCGTGGGTGTCTCCACCAATTGGGCATCCGTTGGTCGGGAACTACACTTGGAAAACTGTCGTCAACTCTTGCACCTCCCAGTGCTGGGGGACGTTCAGGTGCATGGCGCCATGATCATTTTTCAACCTTTGCCGAATCAACTGGGCATTGTGCTGGGTGAGCGGAAGCGAAGCGTGCGTGCTCCAAAGCTGGGTGTGTCGGGGCGAATCTGTTGATGGCTGTCCCAGTGGCTGCCCCGGCTGTCCCATATCAGCTGCTTTGAACTTGACCAACTTCCAGTCGAAAACTGCACGAACCCCACCCCGGGCAGCTAGAGGATGCTAGAGGAGTTGACGTGCTTCCGGGAGATGCCATCAAGAACGTGGCCTTAACCACCAGCAGGCACTTGAAAAGTGGCTCCTGAGCGCGTGGATGAGACGCACTATGCAGGGACGGTTCTGATGCGCGGTGAACCGAGAATGGTTCCTCCCGTTGCCAACTCCTTTAAAGGCCCCCCCAGTTCATGGCCCCTTGTTCGGAACCCACCATGAACTGATAGAAGCAACAATGAGAGATGTGCTTTGATGTGATGTGTTTTCGCTCCTCACGATGGACCGGAACTCTTGTACTGTAACCAGCATATCATTGCAAAATTTATTGCACTTGAGCTTATGATTGCCATCAGCCATCAAGACCCCTTTTTTCACACATGTCATGCCAAGACCTCAGACATGCGGATCATATCTACAGGTGTTTTGAAGAGCTGGGGAACCTTTTGCAGGACGTGACTGACAACTTCCTTTGTGTGAATGTTTCCAAGGTGTTTGCAACCAAACAGGTCATCCGTGGAAGAGAGGACTGGTCATCCGTGATCCCAAGTCGAAGCTACCAGCCTGCAAACCTGGGGCCTCCCATATAGGTGTTTCATGGTGTTTCATGGTGTTTCTCGTTGTTCTTCTCTGTGCATGTCCGCCCTCTCATGCTCGACCACACCTCATGGTCTCAGCCTGCCCCAAGGCTCGACGGACCCCGAAGAAGGCTCCACCGAAGAATCCGATGATGAGACCATCGACCACACCTTGGTGAACTTGAAGCAGCCACGCGGGGGACACTCAGTGGACGCGCCAAGACTGACGCGTTTCCGCGCCGTTCGGGGCGGAGGGAGAAAGAACACTTAAAGTGAGATCACCATGAAGGGCTTTGATCCAGACCATGCACCAGTCAGATCCAGTTAGCCGATTAAGTGGGTTACGGTCCATGTCACGGTCGGCAGTTGACACAGCACATTCCATGTCTCTTTTCGAGTGTGTTTTGTTTGATCCGAACTCTCCGCGGGGTCGGATCCCGTCATCCTCCCATCAGTCCTCCTGTTCATGTGGTATCGTATGGCTTTACAAACACAGCCATGTCCTTGAACACGTTTGAACACCAATGTGTGGGTAATTTCACGGGTTTTTGAACAGTTGACCAAGTTGTTGCTAGGCACTTGAGATTACTTTCTTTTGGTGAAACATTATAGGCGTACCGTATGAGTCTGAGTTGCAGTCTTGTTTGCATCATTTCTTCGTGGTGCTGCACCCAAATATGGTTGACTTTCCCAGGCAGAACGTGCCTCGTAACCGGTGTATCAAAGCCGTTTGTTGCTACATTGCTTTGGGGTGCTGATCTTGCTTGCTCGTCGGTGAATTGGACGGACTACATAGGTCAGCCTATTGACGTCTCGACATTGTCCTTGGTCTTGTTTAGTTGCTGAGCTCTCATTGGCCAGTTTGGGTTTCTATATGATGTATACACCATTATACACCACTATACACCTATCTCCCGTTATATCCAGGTGGTTGTGAATTCTGCTAAATCCAATCGTTCATGAGACCGACTAGTCTTCGAGCACTCCGCCGCTTGATGTCGCCTCAGGCGGGTGCCGCCCACCCTTGACGGCGGCATGTTGTTGCCACGTGTGCTATGTTTGCCAGTTCTTGATTTTCATGGCACCTTGGCGGAACAAAAGCAAAGAAAACATGCAGACAGACAGCTCAGCTGGGCAATGCACATTATCAGACGATGAGGCTTCTTAGTACATGGTCAGATTTTGGCGCTTCCTAACAGAACACTGGCTGTTTGGCACCCTAAATTATAGTCTCTTTCATTTTGCTTGCGTTCCGCTTTCATTTTGTTTTCATCATGCTTTCGTGCTGCTTTCATTTCGCTTAAACTTGCTTTCGTTGTTTTTTTCATTTTGCTTTCATTCTGCATTCATTTGCTGTGATGTTGCTTTCATTCGCTGTAGTTTGGCTTTTTTTGTGCTTTCATGTTGTTTTCAATCTGCCGTCACCTAAACGAGGGGCCAGAATAGAGAGAGTCAGAGGGTCTATATATATTTGTGGCTCCTGGGCACTTGTAAGGGCCACCCTATGGCACCCTTTGCAAGACTGTTGGGGTAGCCGTTCATATGAGGCGTTATTAAACACATGCCGCACTGCCAAACATGGGCTGTGCCACTAACCGGACTCGAAGCTTGTCGCGCTATTTGAAACATGGATTTCGATAGTTCCAGGTTGAATGATGTTGGATTTGCAAGAACATGTTAAAACACACATGTAAAGGAACACATGCCAAAACAATCCAGGAGCCAGACAAAAAATGCAGCATATTTGTTTGAAGCTTTTGGGTGAGATTTGGGACCTGAACTTTGTAAGCATGGATCCTGCTTTTAAATTGTATATGCAGCTCCAAAACTTTGATTTGTTTGGGTAAGATCATATACATTGGGTTTGTATGGGTTTGTCCTATTACCTGTAACAGTCAGTAAACAACTATCACTATTATAAGTTTACAGAAAGGTTCTTACTACAGTAATCATTAATCATCATCATCCACTGTTGCTGGTAATAGGATAGATCCATAAAGTTTACAGAAAGATACTGGCGGTCTTGCACTTACAAGAATCTTTGCTTACCTACCTGATACAAATTAAACACTTGGTGATTTGTCAAGTTTACGAACACCACGACTGCAGCAAGTGGAACCACCTGGAACCTTTGCGAGAAATCTCTGGTGAACGGCCGATGCAAGGTGGTGTTTCCTTTGTGGACGAAGTGGTTGGCCTCTTGACGCTTCAGAACTGACAGGGGTGACTTAAGTCATTGTCAGATAGACTTCTAGATCCAACACAATAAGCAGCTGGCGAAGGGAGGGCCATAAAGGAAACCATGTTGCAATCCCGAAGTTGGTTGGAGGGTTTGGGTTCCGAGCTCTCCACTGGTCCTGGGTGGGAGGGCGCAACTTCGGGACTTCGGCTTGGAGTTCCCGGCGCGAGTTCTTGATGGTGTTTGCCAGTTTGCCTTTGTGGGGTCATTTCGAGTCCTTCATAGTCCTTCCACATGCCAGACCTTCAGTCGCTGGATCCCGAGCCCAGCTGTCGCGCGCTTTGCGCGCGAGGTGACGAATCCAATGCCTACGCAGTATTGGCATGAGCAGCTGGGAGAAGATTTCGTGTAGATGAAAGATGATGAAGGGGCAGGAAACATGACCCTCAAGCCTTGGCATGAGATTTCAGCCAAGGCCCAAGGCTTGGGGGGGTCCCTAATTGCTACACCAGCCGACAGGGGAGATTCCAGATTCCAGGCAAAAAAGGTTGACATCGCTGAAAAGAGTGGTGATAGTTCCCAGCTTCCTGAACAAATCTAAGAACAACAATCCGAGCTTTAGAATGCTCAGGTGCCAGAGGGCCCTCCATCATTCATGTTTAGCACTAAATGACACTGTTGAATCGGTTAAGAGGAAAGAGCCTCTTACAACTCGAGCGAATTTGAACAATGAAACTGCTCTTGAAAACAATGAAATGTCAATGCGCCATGATGCATTGCTCGGATGATCCGCTGCAAACCTCATTGTACTGTTTTGGGTGTCCATTCGGTTCAGGAACTTTGAGACAACCCGACTGGGCAATGTTTCTTTTACTGACAGGAGCTTCATCAGTGCTTATGTTGGCCAGGCTCACCCACAGTCGGACCAGATATCAAGAGCGCGACTAGTGATCCTGATCATGCCTTGTTTTGCCTCCCACCCGAGTAGGGGTTACCTGTTGCCACTTAGCTGGTTACTTGCGGTTTATGCTCGGTAGGTGGGCCTAATAATGCCTACGGTACCTGCTGCAGAATGTCCAAGCCAACTTGGCACTATACAAGTTCTTTTGATCCTTTTATTACCTTAGTTCTTGTTGGTGTTTTGGCCTTCGAGCCCAGGCAATATCCCAAGTGGCCGTCGATCGCAGCGGTGGGAGGGCAAAAGCTGGCCGAGCAGAGCCCAGTGCTTCGGAGGAAGACGCACCTTCAAGACACCACTGTTAGAACACCGAATGCCAACCTGGTACTGATGATCACATATGATCACCCCTTGCACCTGGTACTGATGGATCTCCTTCTCACTTAGCTGATGGAACAATCGCCTTGGATCAGCCGCACGGGTCAAATGTGAGTTGGGCGCATCCTCCCAAAACACACGGCGCAGCCCAGGCGAAGCCGTGCGAAGGGCGCTTGTGGGTCATGGCACCGGGCCGAACGGTGTTTTTCCGAATGGACGACCGACATGAACCGAATGGTCCACCGAATGGTCCACCAGGTGGTTTTGACCCACAGCCAACCAAATGTGTTAACTTTCAGCCCGGACGAGTGGATGGTTTTCCTCTCGGGGTCAAGTCCCAAGGACTAGTCACGTTTGTGTCGGCCATTTCCAACAATTGATCCAAGACTCTTGGACACTTGAGGGAATACATGAATCATTTTGGGCCAAAAACTCCTTCCTCACTGAGGTGCAGTACCCGATTGAGATGTCTCCTATCCCGCCGCTCGGCGGAAAGCGGAAAGAAACCGGGTCTGACAAGCAAACATAATCCACACGGACTCCCTTTGACGTCATTCACATGGAAATGGAAAATGTGCCGTAGAAAGACGATGTTTCTCTACTAACAGGGGCTGTCCCCTTACATGTGATGTGTTCGTCGGACCGTATACATACTTATGTGCCATTGTTGTATTATACCCATATGGCTATCCAAGACATCGGTTTGACAGGAGTGAGCTGGCAACGACACATCAGGTTGTTTCGATGCATACATCTCCAAACTCTTGGCTTGTGGCTCCGGTTTTGGTGGCAAGCATAGGTTGACAGGGATTTGTTTGACAAGAGTCCTATGCTTGGGGACAAAAATGCAGTACTCTAGTGACTCTAGTTCTACACGGACGTTTGCTTGGCCTTGGTCCGTACACGGACATGCCGGCCGAGCTGGCAAACTGGTTGGCGGCATTGCCTGTGGAGAATGAAGATAGTTGCCTCCATGGGTGCATAAACGTCCAAACATTGTCCATGGAAGACAGAGAGCAGCTTCAGCAGTCTTTGGAGTTCAGAGTTCAGGACGCGCCTGAAAGAGGGCTTGCTTTGGGTAGCCCCAGCAGGTGGATTTGATGTGCTATAGCCCATGCAGTGGAAAGCGTCAAGTGCTACATTTCATGGGAGCAGGTAGGTGAGGTCGGTACACACCAAATTGCATTTCAGGGTCGTCCCCTCAATTCTTCATCAGATCAGGTCCCCTTTCAGCCGGCGTGTCTGAGGCAGCAGTCGGACAGCTGCAATTATTCCTGCTCCTCGTGGCGGGGCTACCGGACCAACGAGATGAACTTCCGCGTGAGCTTGACCTTGAACGACTCCATCTTGGCCAAAGGCCAAGTGACGAGTCGTTTTTTGCTAGGCTTAGTTTGCTGAGACTCCAGGTTGGACAGGTTGTTCTTTGGCGGAGGTCCACAGGTTCAGTTCTAAAGTCAGTCATGCTATGGAACACACACACACACAGAACACCCATGTTGACATTCTGTTGTTGGGATTTAAGACTGGTTGTTGCTGAGACTTGTCAACTGAGCCTCAAAACATATACATATATATAACTATTTGAGAGTGTCCTATTACCTGTAACAGTTGGTAAACAATTGCATCATGATACTATTTTTGAGCAAGACCTGTACTAACCATCATCATCCACCGTTACTGGTAATCGGATATGCCCAATATATACCGCTCATCATCACAAGAGGAGCACTTCTTGTTTTGTTCCACTTGACACCGCTCTGTCCCTCGACACGTGAATCCACCCGTCGGTAGCACCCAAGCGGTGATGGATCCTGAAGGAGATGGTTATAGTTATAGGTCCATATAGATCATATAGGTCCTAAGATTGACAGATTCCTCTCTTTTCAGAGCTGTTTTCAGAGAGTTTGTGGAGGATTTCAATATTTGTTATGTTTTTTTTGGAGTGTGGCTTGTATGTCTTATGCGACCCACCTTTGTCTTGGTGCTTTAAGATTTAACAACCCAAATGAATGCAGGTGTCAGCCTACTCGGAATGTGTTGCCCAACATGTGCGTCACAAATCTCGGACCCTGCAAATTCCACTGACTTGTCGTCTTGCCGGACACGTGGACCGAATCACCAGTTTCGGTGGAACTGGATTGTTCATACTGGAACTCCGGCAGGCTATGTTCACACCGTTTACCCGGTGCTCCTGGCATCCGCCGACTTCAATGCGCTTTGACTTGAGGGGAGCATGGACCACCTAAGCACCCGATCACCTGAGTCCCAGCACTCCAGAGTTTGGGCTGTACGTCATGCGTATGTGTTGGGCGAGCATTGAGCATATACCTTGGCAGAGCATGGTATCAAGTTCTTCTTTTAATTGCTATAAAATTCATGGTCTCTGGACAGGTTGGTGTATCTTAAGGTAGCTTTTGAAGGTGAGGACTGCCAAAATAAATAATGAAAGTGCAATTTGTATGTTATTTTGGCAGAAGTGGTCCACCCTACCTTGATTTGGGCTAGTTGATGCAAGCGTGTGCTAGCTGGTGTTGGCACCAGCTGTATATAGTTTCGCTCACATCCAAAAAATTGCAAAGCATGATTTGTTTAAACAAACAAACAAGCAAGCAAACAAACAAACAACCAACCAACCAAACAAACGAACAAGCAAGCAAACAAACAAACAAACAAGCAAGCAAGCAAACAAACAAAAAAAAACACGTTTGGAAAGCACGCATTTGCCAACCAGGACCCCCAACAAGGTTGTTAATGGACACCAAATATCCTCTAAGGTTTTTTGTTCTACACACCCCTTTGGGGGGGGAGTTCTGGAGTATGTATAACGTCGCCACATGATGCAGTGGCACTGTTGATGTGTGTCGATCGTCCAGAGGACTGGTGGGTGGTGGCTGATCGCCGCTTCGCCTACCCACAGCCCTTTTGGAGAGCAAGGACGGAGTGGAAGATCCTGGTGTGAAGTGTTTGGAGCTGCACCTGCTGATGTGGGATTCAAAGATGAGCTAAGTCTAAGTTGGAGTTGGAATTGCTGCCTGGGAAGACGTTCCTTTTCATTGCAAAGTGTGTCTCACTTTATATACATGTTTTTTTTGGATGATTGTTGGATATTGTTGGCAACATGAGTTTAGTGGCCATTACCTGACGAGGAACCATAAACCGGTCATCGTGACCTGCCGCTGACCCGCACCGTCACGTCACCCGGGTTTCCTCACGCAGGACCGCGGAGGCCGGCCACGCGTACACGTATACCTCGGACACCTGCATCGTCCCACCTTCAAGCCCGGATTCCATCAGCAACTGGACGGAGGTAGTGAAGCGACACCGGGATGAGGTGGAGGGTGGGACACCGGGTACGGACCTTTCATAGCAGAGGATGAGTCATGTTTGTGAGCAAGAGAGAATGGAACATGGGCGACCTAGACTATAACTGAAGTGCATGATTCTTCGTTGCTTGATCACTTGCTTTTTGGTTTCAACCGCTATAAACCGCTTCAACATCCGAACAGTTGGCACATCGGCACCATCGGACGGTCGGACTCTTTCAGCATCGAGCCATGCACGCTCTCCAAGTCGTCGTCATGTTTAGTCCGGGTCGCTGGATGTGGTCCCGCCGGTCGCTGAGTCGCTGAGGTGAGACCACCTCGGGGCAGTACGTCTTGGCCTGTGTGGTTTGGAGCCCCACGAGTTTCGCCACGCTGGAGGCCATGACGGAGCGCCTTGGAGAAGACAGAGCTAGCGGCAGCGGAGGATGGACAGTGAAGGATTTTGTTGGGTGGAGTGCTTGGAAGAGTAGATGTGATCATGTGGGGAGCGTTGTTTGTAAGATCTATTCCAGGAAATAATTTTGAAGAATCTTAATTTGTTATTTGTGTTTATGTCTTCGTAGTCCGAACTTAACGGAATGGTCATGGCATACCAGGATAGTGGCGTTTGGCGTGTAATGAATGCCGTGCCTATTTCAATCAGCCATTTCTGGTCCACAACCTTTATGCCTCTTTGCATCCCTATGGCCCTATGCGCTAGTGACCACTGTGAGCAATAGGCTCCAGGAGAACTGAGGGTGTATATATATAATATAATATATATATATATGATATCCATTGTATAGATATAGTCTGTATTTAAGTGGGCCAGTCCACATGGTTCTTCCAACTCCCATTGATCGTCCACCATCCTTCTTTCGCCTCTTCGGTACGGTGATCGGAGCGCGGACCCGTTCCCAGGCTGGAGGATTCGGACCTGGGCACTCATTGCGTGAGCGCAGGCGGTTGGACCGGAGGATGGGAGGCGGAGGCCATGAATTCCTGCGGCCGCGCAGGAGCGCTGCCTGCGGCAGTAGGAGAGACTGGAGCAAGAAGGCCAACATGGGTAGGAGCACCTTTGGAAGTGGCATGCCCCTTCCTTCTAAACCAGTACTGGCCGAGTCCGAATCCACCCGAATCCACCTGCCTTTTCGCCGCTTGCGACTGAACAAGGGGAAGGGCCAATAGAGGTCGGTTCAAGTGGCTCCGACTCTCCAGTGATTTGAGTGCCATACCATACCAGCGGAGGTTGAAGAACCCTAGTTCGACTATCCTATACGTACCCCAGGTGACGGGTCCTATTTCAGGTCACTTAACCTCTGTTGGTAAGTCCAGGGTCTTTGGTTGATGTGAGCACCTCCAATGGAGGTGCCCGTGCTTCACCGCGCGCAGGTGGTGTCTGTGGCTGGACATGCGACTCGGTCATCAACAGCGACTTGCTGGAAGGATGCACCGCGGACAGCACCATTGAGATGACATCGTCCTCGGTGGCCGGGCGGGAGATTCCAACCGCCAACTTCAAAGGCTCCATCGAAATGAGGGCGCCTTTGCCTTCCCAAGATGCATGTTGGTTTTTCTGTGCCATGTGCCCCCCTTTGAATCCAGCGGCGCGACTCCAGCGGGCGTTGGTAGCTATTGGTGTGTTTTCTGTTTATAACTGTGTTTTCCTTTCCCAGCTGTGGTTCCAGAAAAGCCCACTGCAGGAGTGTTTGAATGGTGGCTTGAATGGGGTGTGTGACACGGCCACTGAGAAGTTCAAGCAGTGGACTTGCCACAAGTGCCTCTACGATCCCCGAACAGAAGATGACATGATGCTGGGGCGCCAGGCGGAGTACGTTTTGAGGGTTCCATGAGCCTCATTGTTGGAGGTCAACAAGAGGGTGCGTGTGAAGATATAGGTTCCGGTTCCCCAATAAACACATGTATGCTTTCCGATGCGTTCTGTAAGAGGGGATGCACTTTTCTATTTTGGTGCGCTCACTATCATGTATTGGATATGTATTTGTGTTTTACTGTATTGCCCCCCTGCATCACCACATCCAAGGAGGAGGAGATTGCAGATCATCCCAGGCATCGGTGGCTTGCCAGCGGGCCTACCTGGCTTGGACACTGACCCCGATACACCAGCTACTCCTGGCGTGCCTGGCTTGCCTGGTATTCCTGGCCTTGGTGATGAAACAAGTTCTGGCGTGCCTGGCCTTGGTTTTCTAATCCGCTGATCGTTTTGACTTGTTTCTTCCATGACCCCCCCAAATTGCGCAGTGTGGTTGATTAAGACCACGCAAATCGAAAACTCAGGTTTGTAGGTGTTCCTGGGGGGAATGGTTCTTCTAGGCCCAAAAGCATCCAAGGAAGGAAAGGGACCCATGATCTACACCTCCCTTCCACGCTTCCATGTGACCGTCAGTGGCGCAACGGCACCCTCTGGCACTGATGTCTTCAGTCAGCCTCGGGTCTTCATTTTGCAGTCTTCGCGGTCCAACAAAGGAAAGTGGAAGAAACTCTATAAGCACAACTATGGTATGACATCTCCACCAGAGGCTGTGGGTAAGGACAACAAGCCGCTAATCAAGCAGGATCCCGATTCCTATGATGAAGAGATGCCACCAGTGCAAGATCCCGTGAGTGCTCATGCGATGAATTTGAACCAACAAAATCGTTTGGAACTGGATCCCACCTGGTGCTATGGCCGACAGGGGCCCCTTTACTTGGTGGCCTGTGCAGTGAATAGCACTTTGTATGAAGGTAGCTTCTCCAGGTTCAAAGCAGGACAGCAGGCTGCACCACCACCATTCAATGATCGAGACTGCTCTGATTGCTTTAGTTAGTTTTCAAGTTTTTGCCGGTCATTCCCCCCCTGTCAGCTTAAACCTTTGGTTATGGTATGTTATAGTATTTTATAAGTTCTTATGTGTTTCATAATCTTTGGGCGTTTTGATGTGAAGTCGACTCTCCAAGCTTCTCCAAGTCGACTTTTTTTGACTGGCACTCTCGGCTGAACCTCAGGATGTGTGGCAGTCTCTGGGCGTTGTGCTTATGCGTGCCAGTCTGAGCAACGACCGTTGGCCAATTGTACCGAGGAGCCGGGCTTGTACGGGGCAAGCACGAACGGCTGGGAAGGATTGGTAGGTAAATCAATGAGACATGGTGGAGGGTTTTACAAACACACATCTTTAAGGTGGAAACATCACCTTTCACATCTATTTCGAGGCGGCAAGGTGAAATGAAGGAACCTTCAGGGAACTTCTATCTGGTTCCTCAAACACTCCAGCATACAGGGCAAACCCGCCTTGGAGAAACAACATCTGACTTGCCTCCAGGATGGCTACATCAACCAGACTGCCTTGGTTGGATATGTTGGCTATGAGAAGAACCAGACAGCACCTGTGTGGCTCTTTTGCTATGTCTTGTTGATCGGCTTCGGCGTCAAAGCAGTCATGCTTTGCCCAGGTGTTTTCTCTCCATATCCCCACTTCCGGAGGTATGACCCCGAGCTCACCGCAACCAGGCTGAAGTAGATAGTTTGTTGGAAGAGGTAGTAAAGAGACATCACATGACATCACTTTTCCGTATTGCGCTATACAAGACATAGGCAAACCTGCGCTACATCACCGTATGTATTCCCAGTGCCGGAGAGAACAAGTGCGTGGTGCTGAGAAATGTCATTGGTGCAATTGGCTGCATGCCCAAAGACTGCCGTTGCCGATACCATGTTACCTTTGTCGACGAGGGTCACCGAAATGAGCAGAAGGTCATGTTCATGAAGCTTGCAGCTGTGATTGACCGCATCCCGAACTTCGGTGGCGTCAGCTATGAGGAGAACGTGAGCAGGTTCTTCCAGACATGGGTGGAAGAGACCAAGAAGATGGACTTGGCCAAGGTGAAGGATGGAGCTAAGGGAGAAGATGTAGAGCCACAATACATGGTGACTTGGTGTGCATTTGCTATATTTTGATAGTACTAATTATATGCTTGAGTCTTGAGTCTGAGTCTTTCAGAGCTCGCACTCAAATAGAATCTCCGCATCCTTCAGTGTCACTCTCCCCCAACCTCTCCACCTTTTTCGCAGCCAGTGCCACCCTGCCCTATTGGGACCCAGGTGCGCATGTGTGGTAAGAGCTCTTTGAAGAAGTTGCGTTCAGAAGCTTGGCATTTGTCTCGCTAGGTCTCTTATGTTCGTGTACGTTCGTATCATATCATTTCAAACACGTTTCCTCGCTTTCTGAATTTTACATAATTTTACTAGCAAGGATATATATATATATAGAGAGAGAGTTCTGTATATATATATATATATCACAAACTGATGACCTACACGAATGGGTGCAAAAACTGAGGGTGGAGGAATCGAATGAATCGATCGTGTATTGACCCCGCATCGCTTTTCACAACGTCTCACGACTCACGACGTCCAAAACGGATCCCAGGAAGGCGGTTGGGGCTCCATGCCCCCCTCTGCGCTGGAGCCTTTGGATCAGGCGCTGAATGTCTTGGAGGAAGATCTGAAGAGCCGCTTGGGTGGCAGACCCAGCGCAAGCACTCGCTAGGTGCAGCAATGAACTTTATTGCATGAACACACACCACTGGGTTAAGGTAGTCATTCCTAGATAATAGTTCATTGCTAGATAATAGTAAACTAGTAATACACATCAACATGCTACCGTGACCCATACTTTCTAGTCAGTCGTTTACTTTGGGATCAGTTGTGAGAGTCTGAATGGGTGTTTGTTTTTTCATGGGGCGTGTTAACCTACCAGGAATATGCAGTACAATGATGTACAATGCAGTTTCCATAAAGGCTACGAAGGCTAGACTAGACACAATAGCAGCAGCAATGTATACATTATATATATAGTTTAGTATAATACAATCTAATATGCATGTATGTATATATTTACATACTGTACCTTTAAGTTCAGCCCAGGAGAACTCATGGCAGGATACTGCAATAATTGCTTCATTACAGAGCTGATTTGCAGGATCCGTAGCAATGCATCCCGCCATGGTGTCCTTGTGTGTGATTTTCCGGGGTGGTTAAAACGTGCAAGGTTCTTAAAGGCAAAGCCCCCCCATGTTATGTCAGGGTTGTGTCGGGGTTGCACCTTGACTGATCGCAATCGCTGCTGAGGCAAGAAGGAAGAGAAGAAGGACATGCACCGTGATGATGTCGCGGACTGGGAGCCCAAGGACCGCAATAGCTTGGCGCTGCGAATGCACTACCTCGCGCGTGCCAAGCCCATTGAAGATGAGCGTACCATCAAGGCTCAACATGTTGCGCCCGGAACATGGTACTACAAGGTCCCAGTGAATGCAGAGAACAAGGACTGGCTCAAACTTCGGGCCAATGCCAAGGAGATGGTGTATGGTTTGGAGGACGATGATGCTTTCATGAACAACGTCCCTCTACGAACAAGCCGTGGAAAAGCAGGAGGCTTGAACTTCTCAGAGAACTACTTGTGCCTCTATGCAGACAGGCCAGAGAACGTGTACAATGATGAGCGAGACAATTACCCATGCCTCTACAGCATTTGCGATGCTCGTCATCAGTTCCAGACAGATTTCTTTCACACCACCATCCCGTACTTCTTTGACGATGATATGGAGCTGAACCCCTACGTTGGCTTCACCCAGTGCCCGCAGTTCTTCCACGAGATGCAGGACAAGTTGGATTACTTGGACAACAACAACGCTCAGTTCTTCCGCTTGAATTGTATGATTCGAAATTGCTGCGGTGGTGTAAGCTCTTGCGGAACCAATGGTACTTGGATGATTAGGCATCCTCCAGGAGATTTGGTGTGGGAGAAGGAGAAGAGGCGTGTGCGAGATGTGGAGAGCAAGCGAAAGAGCCAGGAGTATGTGGAGCGAAGAACCTTCCACGAAAGTTGCAAAGTCGAAGACACAGCCAGTAGTCTTCAGCAAGTGCTGCGGGGTCGTCGCTCCCAGTTCATCAATCGTCGCTTGTCCTTTGGCATGGCCAAGAACCCGGTAGACTACTTGGCGGCCGTGCAGCGTTGGGCCGAAGGAGGCGTGGTCTTGTCTCTCCAGACATTCTTCAGCTGCCACAAAGGTGTCTACATGGTGTGGTTCACGCTGATCTTCTTCTTCTGCTGCTTGAATTGAACTGATTCCTCCCATTTTGGAGAAACATTTGCAGGTAGGGATCTTCGCCAAGTGAAGCTCAGCTAAGGCTTTTTGGCATCGCTCTTCTGCATGGTGGGCAAGACGGACTCCACTTGGGCGATCGTCCGATGGGGTTTGGTGGATCAGGACAGGCCTTATCAAAGCCACGTGTTTGATATAGAGGGGCGCTCCAGTTCACGCCTCTGACATTAGTACATTTCCTGCTTTCAAAGCATGTCAATGTGAGGCATACCTTCAGACGTGATTGGGGGGGGTCTGAAGAAAATGCAGGATCCTTTCAAAAAAAGATCCCTCGTCCATGTCATACTCCAGCCTCTCAACGAAACCTCTTAATTAGACTTCCTGGGGTTACACCAACCACCACCGCCACCGGTACTCCTCCAACCTCCCAACATGAGGGACTTGCTCCGGAATAAAGACTCAGAGAATTGATCTTGCGCTTGCTTAGGATGATGTTGATTTAACCTATGGGCGGACCCCCTTTAGAGAATTTGTCCCCGTTCCTGAAGCAAATCCAAGTCATTCAGGAGACCTACAACCAGGCCATCAACCCCTTGGTGGAAAAGTTGAAGACCCTTGCGTTCCTCGGACGGGGGTCGGATGTGTTTTCAGGGGCGGAAGTGTTTTTTTTTTCTGCCAGTGTTTCGCTTCGGAATGTTTAAAGATGTTTGAAGAACAAAACTTAGTGATGTGTTTATTCCTTAATTTTGTTTGAGGATGTTTGGATGGATTCATGTTTGACCCATCGCTCGGTCTGACAAGTCTGAAGAGAACCGGGTTTCATGTAGTTCCTGCACAGAATTCGCGACTGTTCGAAATCTGCAGAACTTGCAGAACATGTTGTGTTTTTTTTTGGGAAGCCATGGCCAGACCAGGTCGTGATCTAGTGATCTCAGTGGATCACCTGCCAAGGGATTGGATGGGATTGGGAACGCTCCGTTTTCCAAGCGAACAAGTGGAACAGACGGTCACCTCGTTCTTCTCATGGGAGCCAACTCGGGGCCGACTCGGGGCCGAGGTCCCGCCCGTGTCGCTCGCAACGTCGACATCCGACTGGCCAACACCGAGGCTCGTGGCCCGAAGTGAGTACTTCAAGCAGAATCCAGACTTGTGACTGGACGACACGAGTCGTGACCCGGAAAGCGTGGTTCGGAACCGACGGGAACCGACGAAATCGGGGTAGAATGACACAGGGGGTAGAATTGGAAATTGACGATTGGTGGCTCCTTCATGTGTATTATACTGACATATTTACACACATATATAATATAGAGAGAGTGTGTGTGTGTGTTAGTTCGTTAGGTTATTTAGTGTGTGTAGAGAGTGGTACAGACCATCTCATGGATTCAAGAGTTTCCAGGAGTGCTGGTTCCACTCCTTCAGTCTACCATGTGCGTCGTTTCGTATATTCGATCCAGGGGGTGAGCGTTTTTTGGGGCAACCGATGATCACCACGTACGGTCACTATATTATATTATATTCAATGGTATTCAACGATATTCGTACAGTCACCAGTTGGATGTTGAATGTTGAATTCCTATATTATATTCAATTATATTCACGATGATCCAGCTTGTTTCACCGTCCCGCGCGTTGTTTGGGAAACCGTGTGCTATAGATTTTGGAACTGGACACTGTGTTTTTCATGCGTTTGTTTTAAAGTCAGTTTAGTGGACCAACAGATGCCTATCCTGCTTCGCGCTTCGCCCAAGACCTTCGGGCTGAGGTTGGAGACCTATCTCACCATGACCCTGCAATTCATCAGCTGGGTTCTGACTTTGGCACCTTGGAGTTGTCTCTGAAATGCCCAGTGGGTGCCTCTCCATTCTGAAAACAACCTCCATTTAGGGACGGACGTCTCAAAAGGATCCCGTTTAGCATCGGTGTTTCTCAATGTTGTTCAATCTTCGAGGTCATTTTGCTTGTTTTCTCGGCATTCCTGCTTGTTTGTTGGACCGCGCTGACCACACACCCTATGTAAAAAAGTCTTATCCACCCCCGCCAGTGGATCCCTTGAACATCGAGGTCTTCTTCCTCTTGCTGGTTTTCCTCTTCACTGAGCTTCTGAAACTCATCCAGAGGGTTTGCGGCCTCCGGCTTCCAGTGATTTGGCCAGATGAGATGCGATGGTGGGGACGGCTCCTGATCTCCATGGATAACTTGACCTACTTCTTGTGGTTTTGGACGGCCTTCTTCTGGACTCTTGGTGGAACAAGAGGGTTTCAATAGTGCTGTTGGGTGAACATGTGTACACAAATACATACATACATACATACATATATATATAATATAGTATATAGTTATAGATATAGATATTGTCTATACACGCATAACCCACCGGGGTGGGACAGACGGGCTGACAGACCTTTGTTCCAGGATTGGTTTCAACTACTACAGCATCTTCGCGAAGCGCACGTACCACTTCTCATCCACGGGCATGTTTTCCTTCATGCTGATCGTGCAGATTTTGAGTTGGGGCATGATCATTGCATCGTCTTTGCGGTACACGCTCTCTACCAGTATGGAAGCCAACGAAGTGATTGGGCTGTCCATGGACAACATTTGGCGATCCACCCAGCTCTTCTACATCTCCGCACCTTTGCTGCTCTATTCCATCATCAAGGGCATTCAGGATTACATGAGATACCAACTTTACGGTGAAGACATCAGCTATTGGGTTGGTGGTGACCGTGGTGTGATGTCTAAGAACTTGGTGAAGTATTGGACCTTGCTCCTGATTTTGGGCGCTATCGGTGCATGGATTTACTACCTCATTGAGGGCCGGAAGCACATGGGTGTGCTGTCAGCGGTGATCATTGTATCTTTGATTGCTCTTGATGTGCTTCACCCTTGCACCTACCTGTGGGTGGAAAAGACCAAGTTGAAGCCAGCACAAGCGGCCAAGCTTACTTGGAGTCAAGCCTTGGTGACTCGTGGATGGTGGGAGTTGATGATCAGCAACTTGATCCTGAATGAGACTGTGACAGGTCTCATGAAGTGGCTTGGGCCAGCGTGGTTTGTCCTCATGCCCTTCTTGACCCTCTTCATGCCCTACATCGGTGTGAACCAGGCCTTCATGATGATCGGATCAACGACCAACCGCTGAGAGCGCACTCGGCCAGAAATGCCGTTTCCCATCCCAGCAAGACCAGCTGATACGATTCACACAGATTCACCAACTTATGTCGAACATGACATGGTTTGCATAGTCAGATATTTGTTTAGGCTCACGTTTGGGACAAACTCATACGTAGGCTATTTGAGCATTTTGAACCTGTTTGGGGTTTGGCACCCTTTCACACCCTGAAGGCACAGCAAAAAGGAAAGTAGTCCACAGTGTTGTCGGAAGGGCATAACGGACAGAAACGTGCCACAACCGGTATTAATTAGCGCTGAAGCACGTGTGATCAATGACTAGAAGTTCTGTCAGCGGAACCAAGCACCATGCTGCCATGCTCCTCACTGGTGCTACCCGTGCGGCTCGTGTTGGGGTGGGAAGCTTTGCGCGAAGGTCATGATCGTAGAAGTGACGGTCTCATGAGGTCTGGCAGCACGCAGGTTTGAGCGAAGAGCTGGCACGTAGATCTTTTGCAGGTGGTGCTGTGGAGGTGTTATTTTATGATATTGAGGCAAGTGAGATAGTCTAGAAATCACCCACCAATTGTATTTGAAGTCGTTTGTTGAAAGGGTGGTGCTTGTGCCCTTGAGGGATGGATAATACTGTACCTTCGGCAAGCCAAGCTCTGTGAACTTCGGACACGGCGAATCCCCAAAAAGAACAATCAAAAGTTAAAGAGGACATCCCCTCGCATCCCCTCGCAGTGGGCATTGTTTGGACATTTGTCAAATCTATATTATATACATATATCATGCGTGTGTATTTTTGTAGGGGGACCCCCAACCAATTGTTTTTTTGGTCTTTGGCGTTTCTCGCGCGCGTCGCATGCGATGGACACCCTCAGCTAAGCGTAAGGTGCACATAAATAGATCCTCAGCATCGAATCATGCAAAACGAGGCAAACCAGAAACTTACGAACGGTTAGATGGATCATCCACGTGGCTCATCTTTACACCCGGCCGCCAGGCCGCCTTTAAATTGAACGTCGAACGCCTTCCTTGATGGAAGTAAGCCCATAAAGCTGTACAAACTTCATGTCCGTTCGGAACAACGAACTGCCCACTCACGTAAGTGGTAGCACTAAGTCTTGGTCTAATTCCCTTCTTCCATTGGGTCGAACTGGGAGGTCTCCCTGCTTGAATGCACACCCATACTTGGGAAAACCCGCAGAAACTCTTGCCAGGGCGGAGCCCTTGGCCGGACGTTCCATTGTTGGGGTGTTCTGCACCGCTATCTCGTTATCGTGTTTTTGTTGAGTCTTCTTGTGCATGCAGGGATTATTTTGTTGATGTTAGCAGGCGATCCAACTCAATAGGAAGATTGTGGACTGCACGTGTCGCTGTGGGAAGGATAATGAACTTGTAGGCATGTGGTGCGTGTGACCTGAATTGAAGCCATGTTGTCACAACATGCCACAACTGATTTTGACCCAGGCTTTGATGCACAGGCATACCAGTTTGCCAAGACAAATAAAGGCCACATCATTAATTTCAATCATCAATTGAGTCAAATGAAGATGAACCGATCATGAATCATGAGATCAGACGCATTGATTGGGAGGAGTAGGCTCCATAGCACTTCTATTTCTTGCCAGTTTCTCAATGTTCAACTCTCCTTACCAATACTTTCTGAAGTTGGAGAAGCAAGAATGGCACCGGTAGCGGTTTGGCGAACCCTTGAGCTGCTTAGTTACTTTGGCTGGATCATCAGAAGGACTGAGAAAGTAATGACAAAGAAAATGCTGCTTTGGACCTCATGCGTAACCTCGGGGCCGTGCGACAGATCGAGTGAGATCGATTTGGTGGCCCGCGGAATTTTGAGATGGAAGTGCCTTTCGCGCGGTGCGGAGTCTGTCAGCGCTCGCCGCTGGCCATCCAAACAGTGCATGTCACCAGTTTGACGGAAACGGTTTGTCGCGCCTCGAGGCTGACAGGAGTTCCATTTGAGTGTTAGCGGTGAGGGCGGCTTTGAGACAGACAGCTAACTGCCGTATGCGTGAGGCAGAATCTTGTGTGATCGTTTTCCGAGATCCTCAGTGTCTTCGATATTGGGGGTCATCCCTTGATCAATGCATCAGCTGCGTGAATGTCAAGAAACATTGGTTCGATGGGCTCTCGCTGACCCAAGACATCGGGTGGATAGGACAGGTCGAGCATCCAGGGCTGCATTGAGCTAAACCCTGGCAACGTCAGCCTCACAAGTGCTGGAATACCACCTATACTATATATAATTATAATATATATATATATATATACATGCACATATATGGAGAGTGAGAGAGAGCGAGAGCGATAACTTATGGTTCCAACACGTCTACCTAGAAGAATTGGTTACAGTATGTTACAGTAATTTTTTTTGGTTGTGCTAGAAGGATAGGATTATATAGTACAAGATTCCAAGGTGCCACCTTCGTTTTCCTAACACCATTGTAATTTTCTGCAGACTCGCCGACGGAGCTCACTCGCAATTTGCAACTGTGCGTTCTTGGGAGGCCGAAGAGCCCTGCGAAGCAGGCAAGGAGCGGTCCCCTTGGAGGTGATGTTTTTTAGAATTGTTTGGGGGCTTGGGAGCTTGCATGAGCGTGCATCGTTGCCCCATCATCAAAGTGAAAAAGTAATATCCACTTTTCATCCATGTTCATTCTGGCAAAGGCTTTCCCTACAAGCCGGGATCCATTGGTTTTCCCAACCTATGCCCTTCATTCATGTTCACCCTTCATCCATGGCCAGAGCCACTGTGTCGATGTGACGCCGAGGATGAAAAGCCGGTGTCCATACAGTACTGTAGTTATAATATATAATATATATATTATTAGCAAATGTGTTAGCGTGGGTTGTTGGGGAATCTTCAGACGCTAAAATATGTATGCCGTATTTGCCTACATTGGGTCGGGTGGTTTCTTTTTTGGGGGGGGTCAATGTAGACATATATTCCATACATGGAGTGTTTGGGATATGTGTATTATTGTGTATTCTACTATATATATATATAGCACCATGGTCCCGAATTGCCGTGTGTTACTTCTTGAGCCGAGGAGCGGCTCGGACACCATCAGTCGACCCACGCACCGTCGCACCGTCGCACCGTCGACCGTCGCAGCTCACTGGGCTCGGGATTTTTTCGTTCACCATCGACCGGCGTCCGGGTCCTCCTGGGCTCCTCAGCGAAGAGACAGCCGGGTGGGACGAGCTGCCCAACAAGTGGGCAGTTTTTTTTCCATGTTTCTTCAGATGCCTTTAGGTCACAGGTTGTGAAGCAAGTGGGTTTTCATGACATATGTACAGGCTGGTCTCAAGTATATAGGGAGAGAGGGAGGAGAGATCCACCAAACTGAGGAAGAAGGACATTGACACGAACAAACTCAGAAGCTTGCTGAAGGAACCCACACTGACACTCCACCTGGTTGGAGGGGAGCAAATGAACAATAAGCACCTTGCATGTTCCCTGGCACGTTTGGTATTTTCAAGCGCCTTGAACTTCCAAGGGCTGCCTTCTCAGCGACTTGCCGACTAGTGCAGACCGATCATTTCGTGATTCACTCTCCTTTGAATAGAAAAAGACTATGTGTGAGACCAAAGCAAAAGCAGTGGTAAACGTTTGACGGTTTCGAGAAGCACATGTATATACACAGAAGCCCCTGCACTTCCTTTTGTAAGCACACTGCTCGCAGGTCGTTCCAACCTGTTCCAATGGACACACCTGTTCCGGGACGTGCCGCAGCGCCTCAATGTCCTCCTTGTCTTGAGGCGCCCGCCCGATTTCCTGCTTGGCCCATGGACGAGACCATCGACACTCGCAGTCCCTTTGGAGAAAAAAGACGCGTGGATCTGGGAACCGATGGTTGATTGTTGAAGGCCCAACCTCCAACCTCCAAGCAGCGGTTTCCGGGCCGAAACAGGACCGACTGGTGGGGGAAAACATCGGACATTCAGCAAGAACTGGCGGATGGACTGAAAAGCCATCAGCCTGGGTCTTTTTGGCTAGAATGCCTGGAATGTGTAGAGGACAATTCGGCGGCCTTTCAAGCTTCATGAGAAGATCCTCCTTTCTCGCTACATGCATGTGGTTGTGGTTTTCAACCCTGGTGTTTCGACAGCCTTGGCTGTTGGTCAAAGAGTACCCACTCGTATATGACCATATATGCATAGGCCAGTGCGACCGGTCTGACCACTCATAGACCGTAGACAAACTGCTGAAGCGGAGCATAGCGGAGCTGAAATTGGTCGCTCCCAGAAGGTCACTGGCCGCGGCTGGGTGAAAGGGCTGTTGAGGGTGGGTGGGTGGAAAGCCTCCCCAGGGTGGTGCAGGCGGCGAGTGACTGATGTTTGTGTTTGACCTGTGGGGTGCGACCGTCGTGGAGACTTCACCAAAAAGGCCTGACCGAGCCAAACCAGTAAAGATGCCTAGGACATCTAGAAGGACAGCCATGTCATTTTGTTCCCAAATGCTGGAGAAGAAGTGAGAAGACGACAAGACATCACTCGGCATGTCATGTGAACTCAGTGCCCGCACTTGGTTCTCAACCCCTGAGCCCAGGTTCTCATGAATCTCAATCAGGATCTCGTCGGACGCCTAGATTTGGTGATTTTATCGACTGGAAACATCTCCAAGCAGACAGAGGAAGCTCAGAAGTCCATGTTGTTTTTTGTAATCTGTCCTTTTGTATTTTGCTCCTATGTTATGACTCCGTTGATTCTATGTTTGGCACCGTCGGCGGGCTTTCTATGTTGGTGCCTCAGCAACATGGGTGAGCACCAGCAAGGCCTAAGGTGATAAGCTGAAAGCCATCTTTTGCAATCCAATGCCGAACACATCGCATACGGTTCATTAGCTCAACGCCAGACTTGGCCACAGGGCCTATTCAGATCATGAACTCACTCTTCCCATCTTTTCTCCCATAAGAGTGATGCATTACATTACATCATTACTTTGACCAATCACCAATCTTTTCA